CTCGTATACCTATGAAATTTATTGGTGATGTTCGATTGAATTCTCATATTACACTTARAGGGGTTCTCTACATTCCGGATTTTCAGTTCAACTTGTTGTCTACCAGTGCTTTGGCCACACATATGTCAGTAATGATTCATTTTGTTGGTGATTCGTGTCTTATACAGGACAAGTCTTCTTTACAGACGATTGGCAGGGGTGAATATTGGCATGGTCTTTATCTGATTGATGCTGAATATACTGATCGCATTGCTGCTACTACACATGTATCTTCTAGTATGTCTTCTACTCAATTATGACATGCTAGGCTTGGTCATCCTTCACCCAAACATCTTRATGTTCTAAAGGATATTTTACATTGTACTTTTGATAAACATTCTTCAATTGATCCATGTTTAATATGTCCTTTAGCCAAGCAAAAGAGRCTTTCTTTTCAGAATAATAATCACCTATCTGCTAGTGTTTTTGATTTGATACACTGTGATATCTGGGGTCCGTATCAGTCTTATACACATGCTGGCCAACGGTTTTTTCTCACTATTGTTGATGATTATTCTCGTTTTACTTGGGTGTTTATGATGCGGCATAAATCTGATGCTCTGATTCTTATTCCCAAGTTTTTCAAGTATGTTGAAACTCAGTTTAACAAACATATAAAGCAGTTTCAGTCTGACAATGCTCCAGAGCTTTCTTTTGCTGATTTTTTTTAGCTCAAAAGGTGTTATCCATCAGTTCTCGTGTATGGGTCGTCTTGAGCAGAATTATGTGGTCGAGCGTAAGCATCAACACCTTCTTAATGTGGCTCGTTCTTTGTTTTTTCAGTCTAAGGTGCCTATATCTTTTTGGAATGAATGTGTTCTTACTGYTGCCTTCTTAATAAATAGAACACCATCCAAGTTACTAGATTGGCATACTCCTTTTGAACGTTTATATGGTAMACCTGTCGATTATACCTATTTTCGGGTGTTTGGATGTCTTTGCTTTGCATCATCTTTACCTCATAATCGTTCTAATTTTCATCCTCGAGCCATTCCAGCAGTTTTTTTAGGATATCCTCCGGGAATGAAAGGGTATCGCTTATATGATATTGARAACAAACGTTTTTTTGTGTCTCGGGATGTTATATTTCATGAATCTCTTTTTCCCTTTCATAATATCAAAGACACTGTTGAGGTTGTTGATCCTTTTCCTCATATTGTGCTTCCCAAGTCTTTTGATTTTGTGGATGGTTGTCATACAGTTGCTGCACCCAGTGATATTCRTTTGTCTTATGGTATGACTCCTTCTGGTAGTGACAGCTTGGGTTTACAACATTCTGATATCATTTCTGCTGGTACTGACTTAAACAACACTGATGTTGCTGATGTAAATACTGATGGTGCTGCTGTCAATACTGATGTTACTATTGTAGATACTGATATTAGTCAAGTTCATACTTCAGGACAAGATGCTTCTGATATTTTAGATACTGCTCTTGTTCCTCCTCCACAGGTTGATACACCTGTTCGAAAATCWAATCGATTGACTAGACCTCCTACTTATCTTAAGGATTTTCATTGCAGCTTGCTCACGGCTTCTTCCTTGCCTTCATCTGCATCCAAATATCATTTACAGAAGTACATTTCCTATTCTCGGTTATCTCCAGACTTTAGACACTTTGCTCTTAATGTTTCTCTTCATTATGAGCCTCAATATTATCATCAGGCTGTATCACATCCTTACTGGCGGGCTGCTATGGATGATGAATTAAAGGCTATGAAGATCAACCATACTTGGTCTGTTGTATCTTTACCAGCAAACAAACACTCCATTGGCCGCAAATGGGTTTACAAAATTAAGCATCACYCTGATGGTTCTATTGAGCGTTACAAAGCTCGTCTCGTTGCGAAAGGATACACTCAACAGGAAGGTCTTGATTACGTTCAGACTTTTTCTCCCGTCGCCAAACTYGTTTCTGTCAAAGTTCTCCTCCATGTTGCTGTCTCTTTGAATTGGCCCTTGATCCAATTGGACGTCAACAACGCTTTCCTCCATGGAGACTTATTTGAGGAGGTATATATGGATCTTCCTTTGGGATATCATCATTCTCATCYAGCTGCARCTAAGGGGGAGCGTCTTGTTTGTCGCCTCCATAAATCYATTTATGGTCTTAAACRAGCCTCTAGGCAATGGKTCGATAAATTCTCTGCTACTTTATTGAGTCTTGGTTTTCATCWGTCCAAGTCCGATTATAGMTTGTTTATTCGAGGATCTGGTGAATCTTTCATTGCCTTGTTGGTTTACGTGGATGATATAATAGTTACCGGAGCTAATATTGTTGCCATTAATGCTTTGAAGGCTGTACTTCATGATAGATTCAAACTTAAGGATTTGGGTTCCTTAAGATACTTTCTAGGTATAGAACTTGCTCGTTCTACCAAGGGCATTTTTCTCTCCCAACGTCATTACACTTTGCAACTCTTGGAGGATACGGGCTTCCTTGCGTGCAAACCTTCTGYTTTGCTGATGGATCCAAACATTAAGTTGCAGGCTTCTGTTGGTGTTTTGCTTGATGATCCTTCTTTATATCGCCGGCTCATTGGCAAGCTTCTATATCTTACGGTCTCTAGGCCTGACATTGCTTCTTTCTCAACCTCGCCAGCCGCATCTTACTGCTGTCCATTACCTTCTTCGATACTTGAAGGGTAGTCCTGGACAAGGCATTCTGTTACAGCCTTCCTCCACATTTCAGCTACAAGCTTTTTCCGATTCATATTGGACTTCTTGTTTGGATTCTCGAAAGTCTACAACCGGTTACTGTGTTTTCTTGGGTTCTTCTCTCATTTCTTGGAAGTCTAAGAAACAAACAACCGTTTCTCGTTCTTCARCAGAAGCGGAATATCGAGCGCTTGCTAGCACAACTACTGAAATTCTTTGGCTTACTCAGCTTTTGGGAGAGTTGCAGATTTCTCTTCAACAACCCGCTCTCATTTTTTGTGACAACCAAGCTGCTATTCATATTGCCACTAATCMCATGTTTCATGAAAGGACCAAGCACATTGAGCTTGACTRTCATTTCATTAGAGATAAAGTGGCTGCTGGTTTTATCAKATTGATGCCCATTCGAACACAGTTTCAGCTAGCTGATATTTTTACTAAGTCACTCCATTTTACTCCTTTCACTTCTTTGTTATCCAAGATGGGTGTTTTTAATCTCTTAGCCCCATCTTGAGAGGGAGTATTAGAGTATATTGTGCCACTTAGTATTAGTTTATTAGTATAGTGTTTATAGGCTTAGTTATATCAGTTTTATTTATGTTATTCTTGTAACAGTTGTCTCATGGTCTATTTATATGACCTCTTGCATTAATGAAGAATCACTTATTTACACCTCAGTCTCAATATTTGTCTTTGTACTTAGGGCTCCTCGAATGTTTTTGCCATTGAATTTTTATTTGTGAAGATTTTAGTCATTATATTATTATAAATATAATAATAATTATTTTTTTTTATTAACAACAACATGTAAGAGTGAGAATCCGAACCTAGCTTTTTAATTGAGAATGTAACGAAAACGAAGAGAACAAGATAAAAAGTGTACGAAGGAAGAATTTAAATTGATTTACTCAAATGAGAAATTGTTGTCGGAATTTATAAGGAATCGAGAAAACAGACCACGAAGCCGCTGCCCACTAAGTCACTAAACCAACATGGCTAGAAACTCTCCTCAAGTTACATCCACCAACCATTAATCTCAAAAACTAAAAATTAACTACCTACTGCCAAATTAACTCCTAAAAACTATCTAAATGAAATTTTGCACTAATTTTCAATACTCCTCTTTAGTGCAAATCTTCTTAGTACTTCAAACTTGTTTTTTCCAAGCACATTGATAAATTTATCTACAACTTGTTCCTTTGGAATGTATATGTAATGCAATTAAATATCTCATGTCAAAATTTTCTCTTGAACAAAATAAAAATGTGTTTTAATATGAGACTCAAACCTGGGTTGATTGAAGAGCAGCTAACAAAAGGGCGAAGGCAGGATGAACAATAAAATAGTCGTAGACGGATGGAAAGACCGGAGACCAGAGATCGGACAAAAACATCCATTTTTTTAAAAAGACAGAGATGAATGTGGACGGATTGAGTCAATGTTTTCCAAAATTCTAATACGAGAAGCAGATTCAACTTCTATTTATTACGAGCTGAAACATTGGATTCACTACAAGCTTGATTGAACTTTCATTGTCACAAAAAAAGGCATTGGATAGTCCAACATAGAGAATATTTCTCCCATAAGTCTTTTCAGTCAAATACACTCTTTAGTAGCTAGCCATAGTAGTCGCTACATATTATGCTTCATAGCTTGAAAGATCAGCAACAATGGTTTGATTTTTACTTCACCATGATATAACCCCTAAACCTGTATTAAAATAGTACCCGGTTGTGGAACGTTTATTATTGATATTACCTACCAAATCTGCATCAACGAAACCACTCAACACATATAAAAGACGTGACTTATTTATATAACAAGTCAAAACTCAAAGTCCTCTTCACATCTCGAATAATTCTCTTTGTTGCAATTAAATGAGCATCACATGGTTTATCCATAACCTAATTTTTGTTAAATCCTAACCTAATTTTTATTAAATCCTAACCTAATTTTTACCCACAGGGATTAAATTGTAACTAATTTTAAAGTACATGGATAAAATTGTTAGTTTAAAAGTTAACCTACTATAATCGTATGAATTTGGACTTTTATGACAGTTATAAACAGTAAAAATGATTGAGAATTAAAAACGGCCACTTTAATAAAAGTATAAAGATGAAGTTTGTTGTTTTATCCTTCACATTTTTCTGATTAATATAATTACAAGGGTAAAATTGTAAAACAATTATTTTGTTTTCATTCTTCTTGAGCATTCGAACCAAAAAGTTTTATTTATACTAATTTAAGCGTTAAATTCCAAAAAAGATTAAGAATCCAATTTCATTTCCATTTTTTAAAATCTCGAAATTGAAAATCATTTTCTTTGAATGCATAAATGCTTGAACTGAATGCCCGTCGGCTGTGGACACCAGCCCTCTGGTTCACAGCCGCGCACACCCACAGGCCACAGGTTGAGGTTCGTTTGTTCTTCTTTTTTCTGGATTTCGTATTTCTTTCAATCGAATCTTATATCGTATCAGCACCACAAAAAATACTCGGTTGTGGGACACTTTGTAGAGAATTAGGGGTTAGATTTGAATATATAATGAGGAAGAGACTTCCAAATGGATTGGGATCAGATTTGGGAATACCAAACTCCTTGACTTTTTTTGAATTATTCAATTAACATTGTGATGGTCCCCATGGTTAGATATGTGAATTGTGATTCAATTATGTATTTGTTTTGTTCAATTCCGTTTTAGTATATGAATTAAAATTTTCCAATCCATCAGCTTAATCTTTTGGATTGAGTGGTGGTTTATTCATATTTAATATGGTATTAGAGGGGGAGATCCTTTGTTCGAATCGCTACATCGTTATTTCTCCCGCTTATAATGACTTCCACTTGTTAGGCTTCATCCAAGTTGGTCAACATGCAATGAGGAATGGTAAACAGAGTTCATTGCATTTTAAGCATAAGTGGAATAAGGGAAGATCCCAATTTTACTTGAACGTGTAATGTGTTGTTAGATTGTGTTGGTGAGTATGACCATGCCGTCTTTGGCTTTCATCGAGTTGTTAGAGAAATGGATTACTTCAAAAGATATGGAAAAGGTTTCTTTTAGACAATCTAAGGCCACCTTGAGAAAAGGTCCTGAGGAGCATGTGATTGGATTGATATTTTTTCCCTTTCTTTTTAGGATATCTTAGTAACTTGATAGCCACGATCTACTTTGAATTTGTTTCGAGTATTTTTTCCATACATGCCAGTTTAACGCGGGCTTGTGGAGAAGACTGTTTGATGGAGAAATATGTAATAAGTTAGTTTTGGCCTCAACTAAGATAGATTGGTGCAGAATCTTTATTCAAGTGGCACCTTTTCTTGTGAATTGGTTATTTTGAAGCTCAAATCTAATCATTCCAAGCTTGTGTTTTACTTTACCCAAGCTACTTTGGGGAGGTAAGTTTTCCTTGACAGTTTAACTTATGATCCATGGCCTACTAGAGGCTTAAAACGCAAATCTGGCTCAGGTTTGTCATTAATGCAGAAAGGATGTAAGAACCTATGAGTATTCTCTTGGTGGCTGTCTCTTTTTGAGATTTTTGGCTTCAATTTCTATCTTCAAAGACATGGAAAACTGGCTTCTAAAATTGCTTTTGAGTTAGCGGCTCAAAGGAAAAAGTTAGGGCTTTGTGAAAATAGTGCTATTAGGGCTTTCAGCCTTGGTTTCCTCCTTGGGATTAGAAAATAAACAATAGGATCTTCAATGATATTTTAAAGCATTTTTGACAACTTTTGGGTAAATGTACAGACAGCAGCAGATGACCTTAAATTGGAGTCCCTTTCATGGGGATTTCTGTACTTAACAACAGCTTTTTCATTAACTTAGATTGGAGGCAGTTTTCTGATCCTCCTAGGTGAAGGGATTTCTCTTCACTTTGACGTTGGCTGTATTCTCTTTTTTCTTCAATGATAAAAGTGATTGTCTAATAGCGAGGAGTAATATAGTGATTACTAATTACCAAAGTAGTGTATTAGGAGTTTGTTGGATTAGACTCTTTGTTACATATAGAAGTGGCAAGGGCAGGTCTAGGGAAAGGTAGACAATATTGTAGTAGTTTAGCCTTGAGCGTTTCTAGAGGGAAGGGTCGAAGTATCTTGAAACACTTGATAGTACCGTACTGTATTTTCTTATTAATATTTCAATACAATTTCCTAATCTTATGATCCATTTCCTATCAGTAAGGCTTGTCTCTTGTCAAAAAGGAAAAGAGAAAAACAATATGATTCCCTATTGAATAAATTTAACAGATTAACAGATTTCTTTATTTGAGGTAGTTTATCAAGTCTACTTTATGGTAGGATGAAATTACAGTTGAAGCTATTTTATTGTAGGATGAAATTACACTTGGGGTTTGGGTTAATCTCATAATGCAATGGTAAGAAAAGCAAATGCTGAAGGCCTTGCTTTAATACATTGCCACAATGTGTGATACACTAAAACATTGAGTGTAGAAGTCATGAATTTCATTTAAAATGCATGAAGATAGCAACTAATGCGAACTCCTTTGCTAACCTCATTTAAAACAAATTGCTGATAGCCATCTTATTGTAGTAACAACCACTCGACGACCGTTTCTAATCAGGAAAACGAACGATTCTTTCTTGAAGAGATCCGAGGGTGGTTTTTCTGTAATGACTTCTGAGTTGGTTGTGCATAGTGGTGCATGCCACTGCAAGAAAGTAAGATGGCGAGTCAAAGCGCCTGCCAGAGTTGTAGCATGGGATTGCAACTGCTCTAATTGCTTCATGAGGGGTAATACACATTTCATCGTTCCTTCGGAACATTTCGAGCTTTTAGGAGACTCCGAGAAATTTATTTCAACCTACACCTTTGGTACTCAAACTGCAAAGCATACCTTCTGCAAAGTTTGCGGCATTACCTCGTTCTACCGTCCGCGCTCAAATCCAGATGGGGTTGCAATTACTTTCAAATGTGTTGATCCTGGAACTTTGACCCATGTGGAGATTAGGCAGTTTGATGGAAAAAATTGGGAGGCCTCTTATGCTCACACTGGCATTGCTTCATTCTCAAAGGTCAAGAAAACAAGTTCGAATGTACAGTTTGATATATGCTATAATTGATGTTCACGACTGTTAATATTCATCGGCGAACTTGTTTAGACTTGCATTGTAGCGGAAATGTATATTCTCGAGTCTCGCTGATGGAGTTTGTTGTGTAAAATTCTTGCCTTAGACTTGTGTTTGTAGGTTGAAAATTGAGAGTTTTGAGCTTTCATTTGAGAGCATTAGATGCTGAATTTTAGGTGCAGAAACTTGAGTTGTGTAAATGGTATGCTTTCAAATTATACTAGAACTTCTGTGATGCTTTGTATTATTGGTTGGTTTTACATGAAAATTGGCTCAAATATGGAGCTTAGGAATAAAGGAATTATCTAATTTCAATTTCATTTGCGGATTGCGTATGATTATAAAATATTTAGGAGTTAAATATCTGAAATTTAAATTAGGAAAGAGAATCAATGTATGAGAATTAAATGTCTGTATTTGTTTCCTAGATTTTGTGGGTGGGAATTCTATTTATTTAATCAATTAATATGATGCAAGTGAGTAAATTAACGTTAATAAATTATGTCATATCAATTATAAATTAAACTAGATAGATTTAATATATTATAAAATTAGTTAATTAAAATAAATATAAATTACTAAAAATATATATATATATAAATAGTTTTTACATGATACTTGATACTTAATAATTTAATTTTAATTTTGTTCAAAAAAATAAAAAGAATAAATTTAATTAGTATGAAATAATTAAACTGAGTTTAAATTAATTAAAATGTTTATATCAAATGACTAAATTACTCATCAAAATTAATGTTAAATAATTTAAAATAGTAATTATAAATGTAGCAAATGTTTTATTAATATGGGATGAGGTTCCAATTGAACTAAGCTTAGGTTGACAACTTAAGTTTCGAAAAAAAAAATGTAAAACAAAGAGTATGTAATGTCTGTCCCAAAACTCATGGCAAAACCCATGAAACAAATGGATTGTTTGATTTCTCTCCCCGACCCCAATTATATAAAACACTCCCTCAATACCACTCAATTAACTAGAACTAGTATACCATACTTTATTTCAATTGGGATTTTAAAAAAACCAAAGGCATAATCCTCTTTTATAGCACTTGGAGCACATTTTCTTCTTCTATCTTTCAGATGTGGAATAATTTGCTCTTCTAATATTTTACTAAACCTTAGTAAATTTCACATTGACAAGATATTGAAAAATCCATAGGTTCTACTACACTCACCGTCTTCGTTGACAATCATAATTCTCAATTTAAAAAATTATAATATACTCCCACCATAGAAGTAGACCACTTGGAATCTTTTCAATATTTTTCTTCTTTGTCATATATTGATAATTCCTGTTGAAATTTATCGTGCATCTTACTCCTACTTGACTCATCTAGAAGCTTTTCTGCCATCGATGTAACTCCCACCACACACACCTTGCATAACTGTCAAGTCAATGGCGATGGTGTAAACCTGTGGAATTGCTACCATTACATCATTTATCATGGTAAAACGGATATACCATGAATGATGTATTTATTTCTCTTTAGAGGAACTGACCATCATCTTCTTTATTGAGAGAAACACTATAAGCATCCAGCCTAGAGCTCTTTGATGAACCGATTCTGTTAGGACAATCGCTCTCCATATACCTAGATTGTTCGCATCCTCAACAACATTTCTTTCCAGTCTTTCTTTTTCTTCCAATTGTTAGTTATGAGTCTTCCTGTGAAGTACGACGTTTGCCCTTCAATCTTCTTTCTTTTGACAAAGTTTATTAGTAACCTTAAAAAATTTCAAAGTCTCCTTCCAATACATCAAAATAAGCTTCATGTGTTCTTAAGAAGGTAAAAATGACACGATGAGTATGAGTGCTTTAATTATCATTGTTATCTATTTTCACTTCAATCGACCCCAGTTAAAGAATAATGTTATTTAGAACACTTAGATGATCTGAGATTCTCGCACCTTCCTTCATTCGTAACGTGAAATTGTTCTTTAAGGTAGAATCGATTTGAGATACATTTTGCTTGATACAACGCTTCGGGCTTCTCCCAAAGTTTTTTGGCTGGCGAAATTTCATGCACATTTGCAAGAATATCATTAGCTAAACTCGTTCTTATCGTGCTTGCAGCCTCTCAAATCTATTTCCTCCCAATCTTTATCACTCATGCTCGAATTCTTAAAATCTCTGCTGAAACCATCATTGATCTCTCCACTAGAATACTATCACCGATTAGCCTTTCAGAAGCACCATCACTCGGTCTTCCCTTGAACACATTGTGTAACCCAGATTATATAAGCACATCCTTGACTTGTACTTGCCACAAGCCGAAGTTGATCCTTCCGTCAAATTTCTCCACTGTTAATCTTCACTGGACTCATAAATAATGACATATCTTATTCACACTCCCAACGAATCTGTAAAGAGTGAACAACTCACACTATTCACAGAACTGTAACCCGTTTCAAGAAATATTTTATGGTGTGGAAGTTCAGACAATGCTCCATACTAAAAAATTCAAGAAGTTACAAACCTAAAGCTTTGATATTACTTGATGGGAAAAACTCTCATATTTCTACCGTAAGAATAAGCAAAAAATAACTGAGAAATTAAAATATAGCACAAAAATAAAGAAAACTCAAGAATTAATTATGTGGAAATGTCCAAAGCGGAGGAAAAACTACGACCCAAAAAGGAGAAATCTACCATGTAAAAAATTATTACAATTACACAGATTTCTGTCTTCGACCCCAATTATACAACATAATATCTCAAAGTAAATACCATCCAGTTAACTAGAGCTAGTCTACCAAGCTTAAGGTATTTCAATTGAGATGAAAAAACTTAAAGACATGAGCCTCTTTTATGGCACTTGAAGCAAATCCCCTTTTTTACTTTTCAGACTTAAAGTGTTTCAATTGAGATGAAAAAAATTCAAAGGTATGAACTCCTTTTATAGCAGTTGGAGCACATCACTTAGTGTACCTTCCCGATGTGAGACAATTTATTCTTCTAATATTTTGCAAAAACCCAACAATAAGTTACCTCTATTTAATCAACTTTACAAAATTTCCACTTTTGAACAAACTCTTCAGGATTGCTTAATCGCTTTTCCACGATTCATCGTATAGGTAATTCAGTAACTTTGAACATATTTAAACAAGGCTCAAATTTTATCTTCACTGTTGCTTTAGTTGCATTTTCGTGCCTTTCTCAATTGCTTCCCTCACAAAATGTAACTTTATATCTATATATTTAGATCTGTTTCATGGCATTGTTGGTTGTGAGATAAATGTATAGCGTTGGTAGCCCAATTCTTTTCCTATTCCTTTAAGATAAACGGCTTCTAATAATGCAATAAACTCTGCTTCTGTTGTTGAAAGATCTACAACTGTGAAATGAGGATTTATATATAGCAAGCAATCTCCTTTTGTCAAGATCCCAACAAAGTTCTGAATCAGAATATCCTTTTAGTTCCAGTTGATTTGCATTCGGATAAGTGTATGAAAGGCCTTTGGTACGTGTTTCTCTATCTCTTGAAATTTTCATTCCAAGAATTTGGATTGTCCCAAGATCTTTCATATCAAACTCTTGATTTAGTAAAAGTTTTCCCTCTTTTATTTCCTCTATCCTTTTACCTACTAATAATAACATACCATCAACCGTAGATTTTGCTTTCGTGTTGTAAGCCTTTGTAGTACACACAAGCATCCATAGTTGCTTTTTTGAAGTCTTTTTTGGTAATATACTCATCAAACTTCCTATACTAGCATCTAGGGAGACTATTCAACCCACACGGCGGCATACATTTAATTTGAAATTGAAATGGGGAGCAGTTAAGTAGGTGCTCCTCCCCTAGAATCTCGCTTCTCTCTCTGTATCAGAAGGTGTGTGTGATACGAGGGTGTGAGTGTCGGAAAAAAAGCCCACAACGTATACTATCCGACGAAAACTCAACATATACTATTCATGTTCTAAGTTTAATTTTGTCATGCTAAAATTACAAGAAGTATCTTGATTGAGGTATGTTTTACTACTTGGAGAGTAGATGTCATTGATGTCTTTTCTTTTGGGTGAATCTCCTAAATTGCAACTAACATTTCTTTTTACCTCTCACACCTCCTGATGTGTTCATTTTTCTCTTGAATCCACTTAGCAGCAATCGATCTTTGATTTGGGAGGACTGGAAACAAAATCTGATGCATTAATCTTGTGCAACTATTTCTTTTGCATTTTGCTTTGGATCACTCTGATGATTCATGTGAACTTAATTACTATTTTTTTAAGTTTTAGAATCATTCTCACCTATATCAGTTATTGTGTTTAAAACATAGGACTTTCTATCAACTATTGCATATCTACTTAGGAGGCCTCATTCCCTCGTTCCCTGATCTCAGACTGCTTAATAAGATATTTAACTTGAACTTCCCCATTGTACTTTGAGCTTTGATAGCAAGTCTCAATAAGAGAGTTATTTTAGATGAAATTTAATTTGGAAATAGAAGTTTTTAATGGATTTAGCGCTGATTTATAAGTATTATGGTCCATTAATTGAATAAAGTAGAGTTGAAAATATTATGGACCGATGAGTTAATGGGGTTATGAATTTTTGCTTGTAAACACTGGTATTTTCTAGTTACTGAAGTTGTTACTTAATCCCAATGTTTTTGATAATTGATCACCATGCTTGAACTACTAGTCCTATTAGTTTTCAGAAGAATTTACGACCGTAGGATACGAAGACTTTAATCTGTATTAGATCTATCTTTTAGTATAGAGGTAGGTACTTAGAGATAAGACTCACCTGATATAGCTATAAATTGCTTATTAATATTTATTAGGCAACCAAAAACTTTTGTTATTGAAAAATCTAGGTAGTTTGGAAACATATCATGTCTGTTTCGCTAGTAGTTTTTCAATGCTTGAACATTGGTTAGTAGCAAGATAGTAAAAGAATATAATCACTATTGTTTTCTCTAGATTGATAACTCATTTTAATTCGATTTCTTTAATATTGTTTTCTCTAGATAGATTTAAAGAGTTCTTTATGCATAAATCAATATTGACAGTAAATTGTACTAACTTTTGATCGTTAATCTTATTTTCTCGATGTAGCCTCGTAGAATAGGTTGAGAAATTGAACAACATTAAAAACATCTTGTGTCATCTCTCTTGATTATACTAATATTATACCACATGCCATGCACACAATATTTACTATTTTATTTAATTTTATAATAGCATTTTTCCTTATGAATTTAGCTATATTCCCAATACAAATGAATTATTTAATAAACAATATATATTTGACTTTCATATTGCAAACGATATTTTTAATT